TGTCAGTCACCATCCCCTACCGACTGGAGTTTGGAGTTCGCCATCTAAAAGTGGCCACAAGGAGGGAACAGGAACTCTCATACAGGGTGGGAATGCAAAATAGTATAACCTTAATGGAAGGGAATTTGACAATACGTAGCAAAATGAAAATCCTTTGATCCAGCAATCACAATCAAGATTCTGAGTCTCTCCCAGAGAAATGCTGGCAAAAAAAAAAAAATACAAAGATTTGTAAGGTATTTTTGTAGCACCACTTGTAATAGCAAAAGACTGGGACCAGCCCCAGAGTCTTTGGCAGAGCACTGGTTGAACAACCTCATGGGACATCTGTCCAGTGGAAGGCTCAGCATCTGTAAAAGAACGACCTGGAGATTCAGTATGTATTGCTGCAGAGCTGTCTCAGTGTGTATTGTTAAGTGAAAATGGCAGGGCGTGGAAGAGTGTACATAGGAGGTTACACTTTAAGTAAGGAGCGGGGTGCAGAGTATATACCTATGTCTGTTGTTTGATAAAGAAACAATGGAGTGCTAAGCCCCAGACTAATGAAAATATTTATGCATGGGGAGAGAGAACAGGGAGGGGAAGAGGCAGGAAGGAAGGTCTTATTTTATTGTTTTGCCTTTAGAAGCACATAGAGTTTTATTAATTTTCAAACTTAAAAATAGTAGGTAGGGGGTTGAGCTCAGTGGTAGAGTGCGTGCCTGAAGTGCACGAGGTCCTAAGTTCCATCCCCAGTGCAGTTAAGGGAAAAAAGAAAACTAAATACAAGTTGCTCTGGGGGAAGGAATCTGAAGGCTGTCGCAGTGCTGGTGTTCCTGGTTGGTTTGAAGTCGTTGGTTCCCCTTTCACCAGAATCTGTCAGACCCAAGGGAACAGGGAAGGTTGGTGGGACGCACGTAGCAGTGGCTCCCTTTCCGTGGCTGGGCTTAACATCTGCCAGGACTAGGTGCAACAGCAGGCCAGGAACCTTCGCTGATCTCTTCTCGCCTCTCAGCGCTGAGTCAGGTCTCCTGACCACAGGCCGCCCAGTGAAACAGAGCTCAGCCTCTCTCGTTCTCAGGGTGAGCTCACTAAATCCGCTTCCGCGTTTCTCCGTTCTTCTCTCTCCCCCAGCTCCATCTGGCCATCCTTCGCAAGCTGGTTTCCCACTCTCAGTCCAAGCTCCTTCGCAGGCCTTTTTTCCCCGACTCTGTCTCTCATTCCATTTCTAAGTAGCTACATTCCTCCTGTCCTTCAAAATCCTGTCCCAACTCCCACTCTCTCATGCCTCTCACACCACCCCAAGTCTCAAATTTGCCTTTAAAGAGTCAGAAGTTAGGTTCTCCCCAGGCTTGTGGAGCCAGAGGTTTTTTTTTTTTTTTTTTTTGGGCAGACTTTCCCTCTCAGCACTTGATTGATACTAAGCTTAGCAGTTCAGGAGCCCTTGATTTCTCAGACAGTTGCCCTCAGAACAGATGTCGAGCCCATGCTTGAACAGCCATAGTGACCATAAAATGGATTTTCAACAGGAACAAATGGGAAATTATACTCCATTCCATTCAGAGGGTTTGTATTTGTATGGGTTGGGAAAGTTGGAGGAGGGGGGAGGGTGGTGGTATAATAGCAGAAGAGAGGAGATTACAGGCAGTTGGGAGATTTTGATTATTACCATTTTCTTTTTATCTTCCAGCTGCTAGGTCAGGCAGCTCGAAACATGGTACTACAGGAAGATGCCATCTTGCACTCAGAAGACGTAAGAAACAATTTCTGTTGTGATTTGGGTTTTATAAACGTAGTTTGTGTGGCTCCAGGGAAGTGAAATGTTCTATTTCTCTTTTTGTTTTGTTTTTAATGCAGAGTTTAAGAAAAATGGCAATAATAACAACACATCTTCAATATCAGTGAGTACGCCCGTCCAGTGACTAACTGTTTAATTTGCTACAAAATCATTAAATCATTTCCTGCAGGCCGCTTCTTGTGGCCTTTGTGTTTCAGCACATTTCCCTGTGGAGGCAGGAGCTGGGAGTAAAGGTGGGGTTGGTCAAGGATGTGTTCCTTCTGGAAGAGATGCCTAAGACTGCAGAAGAAATTCGGGTAGGGGGTGCGATCAGAGCAGGGACCACCTTTCCCTGTGGAGGCAGGAGCTGGGAGTAAAGGTGGGGTTGGTCAAGGATGTGTTCCTTCTGGAAGAGATGCCTAAGACTGCAGAAGAAATTCGGGTAGGGGGTGCGATCAGAGCAGGGACCACCTTTTGTGAACCTCACTGTTAACTTGAGGGCCCCTCAGAGGGAGAGACTGCAAATCCCGTGAGGACAGGGCTTATGCCAGGACTGTGCTGGCATAGCGCTTGGCACCCAGTAGGCACTTAATCAGTATCTGCTGGCTGTCTGTGCCTGGGGTCTCTCCTGGAGTGTCTGCACCTTCCCTGGGGAATCACGTATAGCTGTGACGTGTATCTGACATTCTCACGTGTAACCCAGCCCTAGCTACGCTGAAATCATCTGGGAGATTTTGAAATATAGAGATTTGCTTCTCCATAGTTTTGGACAAAAATGATAATTTAATTAGCTTTTCATCTTATTTCATTTTGCTTTTTATTTTATGTAGTTGATATTATACTTATGTACCTATTAAGAATATCTGATTGAAAATTTAACTCTTGATATTTAAATAAATAAATGTCCATTCTTTGGGTGTGTACCTAACAGGTATGTGACCGTCTGACTCCACATACCCAGACTGAATTTGAGCCACGTGTGTAGTTTGCTGGACCACATCTCTCACTCTTACAGAGTATTATTACATTCTTAGGTTTAGAATCCATCTTTCTAGTAACTCTGCATGCAGATATTGTAGCACAGTCTTAGGATAGAATGGACAGAAATCTAAAATGTGACAAGCTAGAAATTTGTTCTGCCGATATATGTATATATGGCCATAACTTCTACTTCACTGATTTCCTTATGTTTATTTTCCTCTTTCCTTTTCTGATTTAGGCAAGAAGCTATTCAGAAGAAGTAAGTAACCCCAAAGGTAGAGGAGTTGGGGGCCAACTGTAGCAGGGTGGGGGAAATTATACTGCTGGGCCTTGGATCAGTATACAACTCTGGTTGACATATGTCCTTATATTGACCTATGCTCTAGGATAGCTCATTGGGGATACAAGGAATATTTCAAAGGCATACCATAAGTCAATTCACTGCTAGTAAAGGCTTTCTAAAAGTTATAGGGTGTAGAAACCAACCTTAAGGGATAGAAAACCTTTCACGTTGGTATTATTCATCAAGTAGAGTAAACATACTAAAGTCATTAAGCAGCCTTGTTTTTTTTTAAGTGGATTAAATCTGTCCCTTGAAATATTGTTTACAGTACTGATTTGCTTTACAAACCTTTTCTTCATAGTTTAAACATGTCTGGGGCCCTAGTGGACCCATATAAATTTTGATTTAGCGTCAACAGGAACTATGCATATAATATGCTTTGTGCAAATAATTTGTATGAGATGTTATTTATTTATTTATTTATTTTGCATCAACTATATTTTCATTTGCAGTATCCAGCTATCTATTTTTCTAGAGAGAATATGTGAAATTGGACTTGCAGGGACAGTAAACCATTGCATACAAAGAATGTAGAGGATTACTCTTATCTCTTCACCTAACCATGAATTGACCCCACCAATAACCTCTACATTCAAAGCCAAAAGAAAGTATGATTACATAGAGGGTTGCTATGATAATGAGCTGTCATCAGTGCTCATTCCAGATAAACTTTTTTTCTCTATTCTAATTTATAGTGTTGAGCAGTCATCAAATCTACAGGACCAGTTGAATCATCTGTTGAAATAGAATGGCTTGTAAGAGGACAAAAGCACTTTTTTTGCCTGACACTGAGGAGGAAATATCTTACATAACCATTGTTCTGTGGGTTTGATTTTCCATTTTCTTCTCCAGAAGATAAATTAGAAAAGATCTGTGACAATGAACAGTTTCACATGAAAAGAAGCTAGGTGATTGAATTTTGGAAGCACTTCTTGAATCAAATGAACCCATGTTCTTCTGGAATTTTTAGTTGCTCTGTTAGTTTGATATTAAAGCAAAGTTAAAGCATATCTTAGTTTTTCCCATAGAACTTTAATATGTCAAAAGCCATATTGTCTAAATATGTTTCTTAAGCAAATACAGAGTAATGTTTTAAATTCAGACATGGAGCTTCTATTGTGAACATATAAGAATGATTACTATTCTTTTTAGAGACTTTTTTCTTTTAATCAGACAGTCGGGAGGTATTTTAATTTTGTGGTCACAGAATGGTGTAAGGTAATACCTGTTGTTTTCTATTCTTCTCTAGTAAGTAAGAGAAGATACTTATTTTTTGTTGTTGTAGCAAATCCTTAAATGAAAATTTGGCAAATGGTATCATATCTGTCCAGCAGCAACCTCCTGCCTTGACCTTCATTCCTAGAGTTTCTTTGTTGTTGTAACTCTTGATTAACTGGCCTTGGGTTCATTTTGTAATTTTGCTAGTCATCAGCAAATTCACTTGTATGACATTATTGCCAAATGAGAACGCAGTTGAGTTACTGTGAGTGCTTTTGGTGTAGGGTCATGTGGTGTAGGTCATGGAGAAAACCTTACGTTTGCAGACGTTTACCTATGTTCATTGAATTTATCTTAATAAATGTCATTAACACTGTCTGTTGTTAAGTCTGAATGTCTTCACTTTGTTTGAATTTAAAATGAGACTCCATTCTGTTCTTAATTTACTAAGGTACTGTGAGAAAGCTGACATAAGAAAATGATGTTTTTACTGAAAAAAAAAGGCAAGTATAAGTTCAGTTTAATTCAAATTGTTTATCATCACATTGACTAATCATATAAGACTGTATTTATTCCTCATTATTTATATGCACATTAACTTAAGGTAAAAACAAATTAGGTATGAAGGAATTCACTTATGCATTCATTCTATAAACATTTATTACAATTAGTAAATGCAAACAGGCTCAATTTACCTTAAAAAAGAAGAGTTGCAAACTTACAGCAAACGTCATACTGGGGGTAAAATGTTAGATGCGTTATCCGAGAATGTTACTATCAGAGTTTCTACTCAGCATTTTGCTGGAAGCCATGCCTAATGCAGAAATTATAGGTAAATGTAACTGTTAGCAATGAAGAGACAAAATTGTTATCATACAGTAGGATTATCTACTTAGAAAATCCGAGGACTGATTAAAAGAAAAAAGTCACCAGTTTAGAAAACAAAACAAAGTTCAACCATCCAAGTATATAAGAAGTAAAGAAATATTTAAGATGAAAAAAAATTAAAGGTACAGTCTATGTTTTCTTCATCATGCTGAACAAATAATAAAGAAGCAGTCATTACTTACGTTACATCTGATAAAATAAGTTTCACAGTCAAAATTTTAATGGTAAATAAAGATGAAATTTATATTAAAAAATGAAAACCTAGTAGTACTTACTAGTCATTTTAAAGCACGTAATGCCAAAATACTTGAAAGAAAAGTAGGCAGAAATGTGAGAACAGGCAGAAATGTATACATAATTTGAAAGTTTATTTCTTATAGAAATAGGTATAGAATTAAATGGTGATCAAACACATGGAAACAAAAAAATACTTCTTTAAGTAATGTCTGGGTTATAGAGGACATGTTGGAGGATAATTTCAAAATAATGAAAATTCAAATTCTGTGCAAGCAAATTTATGTGATGATAAACAGTACTATAAAGAAAAAAACCTCTGTATTGGGGATAAGATTGGAAATACATGTTTTCTTTTTTTAAGGGATTTGTGGTTAGAATTTAGAAAGAGAACAAAAGAAATCAAAATGAAATAAAAAAAACCAAGCATGAATGACAAAAATTTGAAAAATATATGAAACCATTAATTGTTTCTTATAGATTAAGTTGGTAAAGTGTCAGCTCAGTTGTAAAAGTACAATTAGTAAATTTATAATTGGAGATATATGAAATAGGTCAATTAGATTTGAAAGGAGTTATCTGTCAGCTTGATGCTAAAAACTTAATTACCAGTATCAAAATGTCTGTCTTCTTATAGAGATATATTATATAACTGACATTTAAAAGAGAATATGTCCAGTCTGGTTATGAGAAATTTATTTAATCCACAGATTGTCAAAAATAACCAATTAAAATGTCATTTGCTTGTGATGGCTTTCCTGAGACTTTTCCATACTACCAAAGGACAAATCCAAAGTATATACATCCAAATACATTCCAAAGTACAGATGACAATAGCAGGATACCCAATTCATTTGCTGAAGCAAATGGAATTTTTCATTAAAAAAATTAAAAAGCAAGGTAACATAAAGAAATTTAGGAGATTTTTGTTTATGAACATAGATGCAAAAATCCTAATAAAATCTCAGAAAAATTGATTAGAGAAATACTTGGAAGAATTTCTAAAATAATTCCAGAATTACAAAGTTGATTTAACTGCTGCAAAACACATTACATTAATAACAAACAATAAAATCATGTATCACTGTAATATGCACCAAAAAGGCATTTGAAAAAATTCAATTTCTATTTCTAATTAAAACTTTAAAAAAATCTTTTTAGAAGTATGCTTTAGAAGAAAGAATCATAAGACCTCAGAATATTAGAGCTATATGGGGCCATACAAGTGATTAAATTCTGGCCCCATGTTTTACAGATGAAAAAGCACAGCTAGGGAGATTAAATGACTTACCTGAGGTCACTGAGCTTGACGGTAGGTCTTTTGACTACTGGTCGAGCTCGTTGTTATCCGTTACTTTCCTTAAAAATGGAAACAAGGGTGCTATCATTTCGAGTATTTAATATTATATAAAGGAAAGGATCTTGGAAGTAATGAATCCAATCCATTTACCCCTGCTAGGCCATCTCTGGTAAGTCCAACAAGCTGGTTGTCTAGCTTCTGCTTGAATGCTTCTAATGTTTGGAGAATCCTTTACTTAGTGATGTTGGCCATTTTGGAAGGCTCTACTTCTTGAAAGATGGTTCTGTGTACTGAATCAAAATCTGCCTTTCTGGACCATCCTGGAATTGTCAGACCAGTAGCTTCCACGGTAGGATGTGCACAAGGCCATCCTTGGAGGTAAGGAGAGAAAATAGGAAAATATCTATGTATGCTTATTTTTTATCTTAAAAAGAGAAAATCAGCTTTTGCTCATATTTAAAATATGGCTTGATATGAGACTATGTGACATACCTATCATTAAGCAGGGGTGATATTAAAAATGAAAAAAGCTGTGGCTGAGGCATTAACCAATCAGAGTGAATGATGGTCAAAAGCAGTTTTGTCCAAAACCAGCTCTGCACACTAGGTAGCTGAGGGGAAACTGGAAATAACTCAATTTAAGTTGATGGTGGTTTGCTGCATTGCAGTTTTATCTGTGTGTGGTTAAGTGAATTTAAGGCTTATCAAATAATTCTTGTGAATAATCACAGATTGAATATATTATAATAAAGCAACCACAAGTGAGCAAGTAGAAAATGATAGAGTGCTTTCCTTAACCTCCCACTAATCTGTCCTTTCAAGATAAAGATATCATTTTAACAATGAATGAGAAAGCGACTGCTATTCCAAAGGAATTAATTTTATGGAGAGCGTATTTTGAAAACTAATACTTGGGAATGTTTTCACCATTAAATGGTTGCCAAAAACCAGATATCTATAAAAACTTATTTTTATACATTTAATAGTTAGAAATATTCTACCCTATAAAAATATTCCAACAAGGATCATTTCCATATGTTTAATTTGTTAAACATATCAAAATACAATACCTTCCTATTAATATTTAACAACTAATTGACATCTAGAAAAATTGTTCTTGGAAGATGTGATTGAAAAATTAGAATAATTTAGTAAATCTTCCATTTGGATATCTTTTCACTTGGAACCCCATTATCTCCTTACTATCCTGATGAATAGAAATGCTTGTTACAACCACAAAAGGAAATAAAATATGTGAGTGTAGGAGTGGAAGAAAAAATAGATTAAAATTTTTTTCTACAAGATGAAATGACGACATCTAGAAAACAAGTAAGTTGACGAAAAAATACTAGAGGTTAAAAATGAACTTAGCAAAGTTGCTTTCTTAAATACAATTCAAAATAGACTGAGAACAGCTACATACTGTGTGATTCCATCGCTATGACGTTCTGAAAAAGGAGAGAACAGGTCTGTGGTTGTTTAGGAGCTAGGGGTGGGGGAATTTACTAAAAGGGGGCACGAAAAAACTTTTGGTTGAGAGAATCTTGATTGTGGTCATGCATGCGCTTGTTAGAATCCACAGAACTGTACACTTTATAAAGAAAGGTGAATTTTCCTGAATGTAAATTATAGCTCCATAAACCTGACTGTAAAAGGTAGATTAAGAAAAGGTGATCTCACTCCACAAAGGGACAAAAATCAATATATATATATGTGTTCGTTTAGGTCGAATGCGAGATTAATAAAATGAAAATCATAGTGGAGTAATAAAGGAAGATACTAATTCATAGTAACAGCCGCTTCTTGGCTGGAAGGACCAAACACAGCCAAGATGACACTGAGCCCAGCAGGGCCAGAGCACTACGTACAGACAGGTGACAGGACTGCGCCGAGGCGGCGGTGGGGTCCCGGCGGGGCGGGGCGGGCCAGCTCGGCGGCGGGGATCAGGCCTGCCTGCCCCGGGGCGGGGCCTCGGGAGCACCGGGCTGGCTGCGGCGGGGGACCCGAGTCCTAGAGTCCGGAGACCGAGGAGGAGACAGTGAGTGCGGCCCCTCGCCTCCCCACCCGCCCTCAGGGCAGGCCCTCTGCCCCTAACCCTGTTCCCCTTACCCCGCCTACTATCACCACCACTAGCGCTCCCCGCCTGCCCCTCAACCCTCAACTACCCTCCGCCCCAGGGCTCCCTTCCCCCACGCCCGTGCTCAGCGCCCTCGCCTTTCAGCTACCATTTTCCCCTCCCGGCAGTGGCCACCCAGCGCGAGGCTGAGATCCGGAAGGATGTACAGGTGACAGCAGCAGGGCCTAGAGTGGCCGAGGTGCAGCCTGGGTTGAGTGGGGGCATTAGGCCTTTGGAAGCCCAGCCTGGCCCGGGTGTCGGTCCCCCAGGATCCCTGGGGTGGGGGCAGGGCGGGGCCTGGGCTGAGAGTTTTGAGGGAGGAAAGGCCAGCGGGCTTGGGTGGATTGGAGTGGGGTTGGTGGCGCGCATAGGAGACTTGGCCCTGCAGACACCAGCTCTGGCTCTTCTTTCCCCACCCCTCACCCTACCCTTGGCCCCTGGGTCAGACCTACTACGGGCAGGTGCTGAGGAAATCAGCGGACCTCCAGACCAATGCCTGTGTCACTGCAGCCGGGCCGATCCCCAGGCACATCCGGGAAGCTCTGCAAAATGTACACGAGGAAGTATCCTTGAGGTGAAGTTCCCTGTGCTGCCTCCAGGAAGACCCACACAGCAGCTTTCTCAAAAGATAGTGATGCAGGTCACTAGGGTAATTCCTGTCTCCCCCAACCCATGAGGCTTGCCTTGTCTATTATAAAACTGCTAAAGCACAACACTGATCATCTTATTGCTCTGTTTAAGAATGTCCAGTGACTCCCCCACACTCCTTTACTAGAAGGATACATTCACACTCCTTGGACCTGACATTCAAGGCTGTCCAAACTGGCCCTCCCTTCCTAACCAACCTTGGCTCCCTCTGATGCACAATACTGCTCTAGCCAGACCTTTCCCTTCTCCTGCCGTCAGCACTGCCAAGGTGATTTCTGCCTGCCCAGATGCAGGTGTCAATCTAGAATGCCTTCCGTCTCCTTTCTACCTTCCACATCCTGCCCATCCAGTACCTCACTAATGTCCTACTTTCTTGGTGAAGCCTTCTCCAATCCTTGAGCACCCCTTTCCCAAACCACTACAGCGCTTACTGCCTGTGCCGCTCAGTTTGTCAGTAAATCATGGGAAATGTTTTCTCTGCTTGTGTTTTACCTCCCCAGTTAAATACACTTAGAGGGTAGAATTCTTGTTTTACATTTCTCCCTCAATAACTAGCAAGTCCTGGACCTGCATTAGATGCTCAGTTAATGCCTAACAAATATTATAGTTGGTTTATTTGTCTTAGAACCTGGTACAGGTGCCCATCAATACAATGGTAAACAAAGCAGATATTCATGGAGCTTCTAGTGCTGTGGGGGAGACTAAGCACCTAAAAAGAAACTGAATGAATAATAGAAGGAAGGAAGGAAAGGAGAGAGGGAGGGAGGGAGGAAGGGGTTGTAAGATTCAGTGGTTCCATATCTTCTAGTCTCTAGAGGGGAAAAAATATGTGTATATTTTCTATTTCCCAGGTATTATGGCTGTGGTCTGGTCATCCCTGAGTGTCTGGAAAACTGCTGGATTTTGGACCTGGGTAGTGGAAGTGGCCGAGATTGCTATGCACTTAGTCAGCTGGTTGGTGAAAAGGGACATGTCACTGGAATAGACATGACAGAAGGTCAGGTGAGGCAATTATTTCAAAACCCAGGAGGAAAAATTCTGAAAAGCATTCTTTTAGAGATAAAGTTCTTTGCATGTGACTCTTCAAGGATAATTTCAGAAGGCTGTTGAAGGCAATGCTCATTTGTGCCACTACTGCTTCCTGACCTGGAAACTGAGAACTCTGATAATTAGGGGCTTTTCTGGTAAAAAACACAGAGTCAGAGGTTTGATCTGATATATGAATATCATGATAACTAAATAGAGTTTGGTCTTTTCCTTCTTTCTGCCATCTGTCATGAAAGATTTTCTTATTAAGTGAAGCGCTTATTCAGGCAAAACCCATGAACCCAGTGGGGAGCTTATGGCCACTGAGCTGTCCCACACTGTAGTATATCCTCCACGCCAAGATGAACCTTGTTTACTTACCCAAAATAGTCTGGGGGAAGTATATTCCATTAGTAATAGGGAACTTTAGGGAAAAAGTAATGTATTAAAAATTTTTAATGATCAAATTGATACTTTTCTGCCTTTAGGTAGAAGTGGCTAAGAAGTACATGGACTATCACATGGAAAAATACGGCTTCCGGGCACCCAATGTGACTTTCATTTATGGCTACATAGAGAAATTGGGAGAGGCTGGAATCAAGAATGAGAGTTATGATATTGTTATGTAGGTCTATATCCTCACTGTTACGAATATAGCCCCTTTCCTATTAAACACACAAATGTCACCACTTTTTCCTGAACTGACTCTCATTTAGGGTGTTACACGAAGCTTAGCATGACTTAATAAAGAGAAGGAGCTGGTCTGAGGCGCTTGTAGCCCACCAGCCCGCAGAACACACTAGCCCAAGGGAGAACTTATTTTGAACTTAACCGTGGTTTACCAATGAGCCCCAAAGACCAGCAAGACCACTGAGTCTGCTCATATAATATACTCTGACCTGTTACCTTTAGTATTATTTTCATAGCAAATTATAGGATTCTGTGTTTTTGTTTTTCCTTTGAGTTGTCATCAAATCATGCCCAGTGACAGCCTTAATAAAGCTGCCTTTGAGGAACTTAGTCTATTTACATGTGATATCGGAAATGCCTTGGGCAGTAGGCATCTGGTCCCAGGTCATTTTGTTGCATAGTGAACATCAGGGCAGAAACAAGAAGCACGCCTGATTTTTTTTGTTGTGGTTCTGTACAGTTAAACTTGCTAACAGTTTATTGAGATTTTAAACACTCAGTGCCTCTCCCTTATCTTGGGGAAACGTTGAGCGTGGGGAAGCGAGGACGGAGGTGGGAAGGATGAGGTAGCTTAGACAAAATGGTGGGAGCCATCTTTAGGGACCAAAAGGAATTGAAGGTCTCTAAGTGGTGTGCAGATTTGCTTGACATTCTGTCTGTTCTTTTTCAGATCAAACTGTGTCATTAACCTAGTACCTGACAAACAACGAGTGCTGCAGGAGGTGTATCGAGTACTAAAGGTGAGAAGCGGGAGACACGTGGTCTGTAAACATGGGATCTGTCCTGTTCTTGTCCCCTTGAGCTGAGAGCTCAAACTCTTAATTTATCCACTAAATTGAAAAGAGTGGCAAAAAGGGGACGTGACAGGAATACCCTCTCTGGACTCGTGTTCCTTTCAGGTTGTAAAAGGCAGTAAATCTGAGAGTCACGATTGTGATTGAACATGGTAAATATTTGCTTTGTTGGCTGTTTCTCCTCCTGCCTGCTGCGTATGTAGCATCAGCAGAGCTGCAGGAACCTTTGGACTGACTACTAGGTTGTTTTGAATATTCTTTTCTAGCATGGACAGTGTTTCTCAGGGCTCCTTATTTTGTATCTGTCAGGAGGCTTGATCTTTGGGAAGTTAAAGAAGATGGAACTTTTACCTTAACTACTCTCTAAAAACTTGCAGGACTCTACACCCTCCATATGTATCATGAGATGTGTCTCTTTCTGATGGAAGATAGATGATTCTGAGATTTCTGTGAGCCATTTTATAGACCAGCTCACGTGCTTGTAGAAGGTAGACACTATTGTAGATTCTAGATGTCCATGCTCCTGAAATTAGCTAAATAAAATCTGAAAATCACTCTTACGCCTGAGATTTTCAGGGTGATTATTTTGAAAATATAATGTGTTACTATAAAAATAAATAACAACATTACAAAGGCTGTGTACTTTTTAAGGAAGAAGAGTTTATGAATCCTGTTTACTTCTTCTGTTAGTTCTGTAACAACCTGGGGCTGCATTTGGCTCAGATTGGCTAAAAATTTAGGTAACCTGAATATTTTTTATTTAGGAGAGAGACACTCTTGTAGAGCTATTTTGTTACTATTGGGAAGGGCACTGAAAAAAACCTTGGCTGTTGGCTATTGATTGTAACTAGGGAGGCAGCTGTTATTTGTTCAAAAAGTGTCAGCTCAAGAATGTCTGTTGTTTTTTTAAAAATTGATTTTATCCCTCATTCCTTTCTTGGCTATCTGGAACCAATGTCATCTTTAACCTTGTTTGGACTAATTCTGCTGTTTCAGCACGGAGGAGAGCTGTATTTCAGTGACGTCTATGCTAGCCTTGAATTGCCAGAGGAAATCAGGACACACAAAATATTATGGGGTAGGGATGTTCTTTTGTTTTATTTTGTTTTAAGGCAGATGCATGTTCAAGTATAGCACTCCATCCTGCTAATATCCAGGCTGAGCTTTGTGATGTGGGAACATGTGGGATTAGGTCAGGAGCCTGAGGTTCTGTTCCTCCTCTGACACTCAAATCTGGTATGATCTTGGAGAAGTTAATTAATCTCTTTGAGTCATTGTTTTCCAGACTGTAAAATGTGGGTAACAATTCAGTCTTTCTTATAGGGCTGTTATGAAGATTAGATGGGATAATAAATGTGAAAAGTTCTTTAAAAGCTCTAGTGTGAAAATGGGGGTAACTGTTCCAGAGCCGATCCCTCCTTAATTCCCTTCTGTTCTCATCATTGGCATGTTGTTGATTCCTTTACTGTCATTTTCATGGAGTCTCTGGATGTTGAGGAGATAAATTCCATGTGTGTGGTCAGTCTGGCTATGAAATCAAAAGTTCCTGCTTTTAAAATAAATTATGTTATTTTTTTCTTATTATACAATAAGAAAAGGATATTGTTTAAAAGTTGGAAAATACAAAAAGAAAACGAAAAAAATTGCTACTAATTATATAATCCAGCAGTAATGTTTTCATTAATACCATTGCCTAATCAATTATACAGAAGAGTAGTTCCCTTAATATCTGGTTGTATTGGTTGGTCTGTGATTTTTCTTTTTTCAGGTGAGTGCCTGGGTGGCGCTTTGTACTGGAAGGACCTTGCTATCCTTGCCCAAAACGTTGGCTTCTGCCCTCCACGTTTGGTCACTGCCAGTCTCATTACAATTCAAAATAAGGAACTAGAAAGTGTGATCGGTAAGAAACAGCAGCAGGGACTATTACAACTGCACCCTGAATAGTTCAAACTCGGTGATTAGCAAGTGTCTACGGAGTGAGTCTCATCAAGTTAACTTTGTATTATCTGGAAGTCTCCACCCTGTCCCCTGTTTAATGGCAACTTCCCAAAGTTTGATATTTAATAAAGCACTTTGAAGTTATTCAGTAAATAGAGTGAAGTGCCCAGAAAGAGAATTGATGGCCTGCAAAGAAGAAAATCATCTTTATAACCTGTGCAGTCTTTATCTCCTGAGCAAAGCAATAGCCGTTAAGAGTCCTGGAGATGAACCACGAGTATATTCTGTTTTTAGGTGACTGTCGTTTTGTTTCTGCAACATTTCGCCTCTTCAAGCTCCCTATGACAGGACCAACTGAAAAATGCCAAGTTACTTACAATGGAGGAATCACAGGACATGAAAAAGAACTGATATTTGATGCGAATTTCACATTTAAGGTAAATAAAAATTTCCACGACTTTCAGTATTCTTTCTAATCTTACCCTTGTTCCGGGAACCTTTCTTTTGAGGAAAATTTTATTTATTTATTTATTTATTTATTTATTAATTATTGAGGTATAGTTGATTTATAATGTTATGTTAGTTTCTTGTGTACAGCATAGTGATTCAGTCCATACATATATATATATATATATATACACACATTTACATATTCTTTTTCATTATAGGTGATTACAAGCTATTGAATATAGTTCCCTGTGCTGTACTGTAGGACCTTGTTGTTTATTATCAAGAATTATTTCTTTAGCAAAATTATATTTTAAAGACCGATACTTACTGGGTGTCAGGCATTGCTTTATATAACCCCAGTATCTGAAGGGGTACAAGCAGAGTTATCTGATAGGAGCAGGGATTGGACAGCTCAGAATCTCCTATGCTCACTCCTGGTTCCCACGGTGTGGGCCCTTTATACACCTCCCAGGCACCTGGACTCAAGGAAATACACCTTAAAAACCACTAGTCCAAAGGCCCCTTTTTTAGCGATAAAGAAGTTGAAACTCAGCAGTGGTTTTCCACATCTACCTCTGGGCAGACTAGACACCAGAGCAATAGGTATCCTTTTGCATTGTCACCAAAGAAAAGTGATTATGACCTGGGTCAGTTCTGTTTGGAAGTAAGCATGAAGCTAGTAGCAGGGTCTGAACATGAAATACCCTATCAAAAGGTGACATCTTTTATCTTGAGATGCTGCTCAGTAGTAAAACTTCTGGGCATTTTCTTTCTCTTGAGACTAAAGTGGCATTTCTTAGTATGTGTTTTTCATGTTACCCTTCAGAAAGGTGAAACTGTTGAAGTAGATGAAGAAACAGCAGCTATCTTGAAGAATTCACGATTTGCCCAAGATTTTCTGATCAGACCAATTGGAGAGAAGTTGCCAACACGTGGAGGCTGCACTGCTTTACAAGCAAAGGTTTGTTTGGCTTTCAATTTCCTACCATCAGAGAACCATTTAAAAAATCATTACGCTTGCCACAGACCACTAAAGCAAGAAACAAATCATTATTCTTTTAGTTGGCCACCATAATTTATTTCTAGCATTTTTGTATCTATAAAATGATTTGAATTAATTTCATAGCTTCATTTTTCCAAAGCTGAGAGTAAGTCAGAGATTTATAACTTGGTGCAGCCAGGAATGGACTTTAGGGTATCCATGAACCCCTTAAAATTATATGCATGGGAATATTTTCTCAGGAAATGATCTGTTACTTTCATCAGGTTCCCAAAGGGGTACAGATACAAAAAAAGTTGCGTTACCTTGGAAAAAATTGTTCAGATTATACATATATAAGAGAGAGAGAGAGAGATAGTCAAATTGTCCTCCAGAAAGTTTGTACCAGTCTACATGCCTACCAGCAGTGTATGAGGATACCTTTCCCTTACACTGTCACTAATAGCAGGTATTTTAAAAAGATTTCCTTATCTGATAAGCAGAAAATAATTTGTTGTTTTATTTTATGTATCTTGAACTTTTTGGCATGTTTATCGACCATTTATATTTTGTCCACTGTGATCTTCCTGTGTAATTCCTTTAACCATTCTTTATTAGAGTGATACTTGTGTTTTTTAAATTGCTCTATATTATCTATTATATGTTACAAATGGTTTTTCTCAGCATGTCATTTATCTTATTTGCTTTTTTCCCTGAATAGATGTTTTCAATTTTTATGTGGTTACTTCCTTTATGGTTTCTGGCTCTGATGTTAAAATTAGAAAGACCTGCTCCATGTGAACATTAGAAATTTACATATATTTTCTAGTACTTTTAAAATATTGAGGTAAAATTTACATAACATAAAATTCACTATTTCAGCCATTTTAATGTGTGCAGTTTAGCAGCTTTTAGTACATTTACAGGGTTGTGCAATCATTACTACTATCTAGTGCCAGAAAAATTTCATCACCCCAAAAAGAAATCCTATACCCATTAAGGAGTCATTCCTCAATCTCCCCTCTCCCCCACCCCTGGCAATAACTAATCTGCTTTCTGTCTCGAGATTTGCCTATCCTGGACATTTCATATAAGTGGAATCATATACTACATGGCCTTTTTTGTCTTGCTTCTTTTACTTAATGTAATATATTCAAGGTTTATCCATACAGCAGTACTTCATTCCTTTTTGTGGCTGAATAATATTCCCTTGTATGGATATACCACATTTAAAAATCCAGTCATCAGTTGATAGATGTTTAGGTTGTTTCCATTTTTTGGTTATTGTGAGTAGTGTTGCTATATGTATATGTGCCTCATGCACTTGTTTGAGTAATTGTTTTCAGTTCTTTTGGGTCTATACCTTGGAGTGGAATTGTTGGGTCATATGGTAATTCTTTGTTTAACTTTTTGAAAATCACCAAACTGTTTTCCAAATTGTCTGCATCATTTTATATTCCTACCAGCAATGTGCAAGGGTTTCAGTTTCTCTACATCTTTTCCAACACTTCTTGTTTTCTGTTTTGATTAGAGCCATCCTAATTGGTGTGAAGTGGTACCTCAATGTGGTTTTGATTTGCATTTCCCTAATGACTAGTGATGTTAAGCATCTTCTCATGTGCTTTTGACTGTTTGTGTAATTTCTTCACCATTTGTATATTTTCTTTGGAGAAATGTCTCATCCTTTGCCTATTGTTAAATTGGGTTGTTTCTCTTTTGATTATAGAGTTGTAAGAGTTCTTTAGATATTCTGGACACTAGATCTTTATCAGATACAAGATTTGCAAAAACTTCTCCTATTCTGTGTATTGTCTTTTCACTCTCTTAATACTGTCCTTTAATGCACCAAAGGTTTTAATTTTGATCAAGTCCAGTTCATCTATTTTTTCTTTGGTTGCTTGTGCTTTGGGTATTGTAGCTAAGAATGTATTCCTTAATCCAAGGTTGTCATGAAGATCCTTCTAGTACTTTCATGGTTTGTTTTTCACATTTAAATTTTTATTCCATCTGTAATTCATTTTAGCATAAATATTGAGGTAGAGTGTGACTATTTTTCCAAATACTAACTAGCTCAAATTTTTCTACTCATTTATTAAATAATTTCCCTGTTTTGAAATGCTACTTTCTATCATATCTAATTTCTTAAATGTATATTTGAGCCAGTATTCCTCTGTATTCTAAAATGAGTATTTTCTAAAATATCTTAGGTTCATATTTAGAATTATTCTAGTAACTGAAATATTGGTGCAGCATTTTTTTCCCTTGAACCTATTTCTGTTGTTTTTTTTTAATTGAAGTATAGTCAGTTACAATGTGTCAATCTCTGGTGTATGCTGTAGTATTTTTAAAAGCATTTTATCATAATTTATCTCAGGTCACCTCTCACAACCACCCTACGCAGAGATGAATAACTAGTTATAACAGATATTAATGTCTCTCTTTCTCTTATTTATTTTTACCTTTTCCCCATTCATGCTGTTGTAATTATTTGATTAATCTATTCATTAATTTATAATATTTTATTATTTAGAACAGGCTTGGTGTTGGATTTCAAGTCTCTTTTGTCTTACAGACCTAACATTTACCAAAGTCATTACAGTGAAGTATCTCAAGGCACTGAGTGTTGGAAGCCCAGGAGAATAAGCTGGGGCGGGATGGTGGCAGAGCGTGGGGTTTAAGTACATGGCCTTAGAATCAGGTAGACTGGGGTCAAATCTTTGGCCCTGACACTTATGTGTGACCTAAGCCTCCTAAACCCTTAGTTTCCTCATGTGTATTGGAGAGGTAATAATCTCTTTTTCCCTCAGACTGTGAGAATCAAATGGAATGATACGCATAAATGTTAACCCAATGCCTGGCACATAATATCTACTCAAGAAATAGAAGTGGTTATGGTTATGGATTTGTCTTAAGATTCTTGGTCTCTTGGAACCATGTTCTGTGTATTTGCATTCTGATCATCTTTGCAGGATTCTTTCCTCATTCTCTCGAACACCCTTTCTTCTGGATTCTCAGAATTTCTGGAATCTTTTCTCCATGAATTTTTGCTTTCCGTTGTTTGTATTTTGTAGTAATTTTAGCTACATGGAGCAAACACTGGTAGACAAGTAACCCTGTGCCTTTTTCTCCTTTTGTTACCTCACAAGCAGTCTTTAAGAGCAAAGCTTATTTAGAGATCATGCTCCAAAATGATACATTTGTAGCTGAGGAAGTTTAATTGGAGACAAGAATCCTGGAGCCAAAAACCCTAATATGTTCTTATTTGGCCACTATTACCAGCATGAATCCAGCCCAAGTTAAGTGCAGAAGCCACCTCTAGAGCTGGAACTTTCTTTGTTTTATTAAATTCTCAAGCACTCTGTATTGTCACTCTTCCTGTGTTTCTAAGAAGGTGATTTTTTTTTTTTTTTGGAAAGTAGAGATATGTGAATTCTGACTTTCTAGTCCATTGCATTTCAGGAATGCTATTGCTATTTTGAAACTCACGGTAGTTCACTGATAACTGGTCAGAATGAATGTTTATCTTGAAAGGTTTCATCATTCTAATTCTTCCATACCTGGTTTCCTGAATCCTGGGACTAAAAGCTGTCAGAAAATAAGTTACAAGTAAAAGGAGTCTCTCCCCCTCCACCCCCGACAACACTTACTGCAGGTGCACTCTGGCTGTGAAAACTATAGTTAAATGAGTTTGTTTCTACAGAAGACTCTTTCCTTCCAGCGTAGGTCTCCTAGTGAGCAGCACATAACGTGCAGGAGGGTTCCTGACCTCAGGTAGGAGTTGCAACACTCTGCATATTTGGACTGATTTATCCCAACAGTCTCCTTTCTGGTCCTGCCTTATTTCTTTCAGCCCACTGATGCACAGGTATCTTTACATCACTTTCAGCTTTGTAAAACAGGAATAATTGACACCAAGGAAGACTGAAAGAATGAAACAGCTGTGTGTCCTAGAGATTAAAACCTTGTGCTCTTGGGAGAAGGCTCCTTATCTTTTTAATGGAAGACCTTAATGATACATTCCTGAGTACAATGAGCAGGTGGCATGTAGGGAATTGCTCATGTTTATGTCTTCCTATCAGTGGCTGCAACAGAGGAATGAAAGTACAGCTTCTCACTGAGGGTTGACTTGATAATGGCTATTTTCAAGAACCCTTCTTTTTCTTTTTTTCTCCTCTTTTTTTTTTTAGTTCTTTTTTTGGGGGGGTGGTAATTAGGTTTATTTATTTATTTATGTTTAGAGGAGGTGCTGGGGATTTAACCCAGGACCTCGTGCATGTTAAGCATGCACTCTACCACTGAGCTACACCGTCCCCCCTTCTTTTTTTAATCCTGACAAGCAAAGTGTATTTTGCTATTTAAAGAATTGCACTGCATCTGAAATGATGCATATAGGATGTGTGCTGTGTACTGTCTTGCTTCAGTTAACAGTCATGGTAGTAATCACATGACAATAGTAGTAATAATATAGGAGACCTAGCCTTTATTGAACAGTTAATATGTTCAAGGCACCACATCACTGAGTCTTCACAATACTCCTTATACTCTTCATTTTACAGATGAAGAAATTGAGGCTCAGAGAGATTAATTTACTAATCCAAGGTAACAGCTGGAAAGCAGTGAATTTGAACCCATGTCTGATTCTAGAGCTCACATTCCTTTTTTTTTAAAAATATTCTTTACTAAATTTTCTTTTTTTTTTTAATTGAGGTATAGTCAGTTACAGTGTGTCAATCTCTGGTATACAGCATAATGTCCCAGTCATGCATATACATACATATACAAACATTTATTTGTTTTCATATTCTTTGAAGGGAATGTAGTTTGGTGCAACCGTTATGGAAAACAGAATGGAGATTCCTCAAAAAACTGTAATTAGACTTACCGTATGCTCCAATAATCCCACTCTTAGGCATATGTCTTGGAGGGAACTCAAATTCTAAAAGATACATGCACCCCAATGTTCACAGCAGCACTGTATACAATAGCCAAGACACGGAAACAACCTAAATGTCCACTGACAGAGGACTGGATAAAGAAGTTGTGGTATATTTATACAGTGGAATGCTACTCAGCCATACAAAGAATAAAATAATGCCATTTGCAGCAACAGGGATGGACCTGGAGATTGTCATTCTAAGTGAAGTAAGCCAGAAAGAGAAAGAAAAATACCATATGATATCACTCATATGTGGAATCTAAAAAACGAAAAAAGAAGACATGAATGAATTCATCCTCAAAACAGTAACAGACTCTCAGGCATAGTAAACAATCTTATGGTTACTGGGGGGAAGGGGGTAGGAAGGGATAAATTTGAGAGTTCGAGATTTGCAAATATTAACTACTACATATAAAAATAGATAAAAAACAAATTTCTTCTGTATAGCACAGGGAACTCTCAGTATCTTGTAATAACCTTTGGAGCTGACATTCTTAACCAATCTGCTCTACTGGGGGTCTCCATATTTATACTTTTGATAGAATCACAGGATGTTGGTGCTGGAAGGGACTGCTGCCTCTTATTTTGTTCCAGGCTTGAGAGCTTTTAGGGCTGGGAGCATGCATTTGGAAGTGATATTGACATTACTATCTCCTGTTGGTAGGGAGAACACGTGGTGGGAAGAAGAGTATGGAAAATCATTTTCCTGGGTGAAAAAGAGGAGAGGCTAACTCTTCCAACCAGGAATGCCAATGTGCTGCGAGGAGGAAATTCAATGGATGTGAAGGCCTGGTAGCAGCAACCAGTATAGCCAGCCTTCTCCTAGGCTCAGAGATCTCCTGTCAGATGTTTGTCTGCTGTTCGGTGGCCCAGGTCCAGACAGACCTCTTCACTTTAGAAAGACAGACACTGAGGGTCAGGGAGGCCAAGGCCACCAGTAAGTTATTTCAGTAAGGGGAGTGGTCCCTAAGACTGCAGTTCATCAGTGTAGGCTCTGTGCCTGTCTTGTACACCCTTCTATTTGCAGTGACCACCAATCAAAAATGAGTGTCAATTTATGTTTAATGAATTCAGTTTCATTCTGTAAGGTGGCTTGTTCATACTCTGGACTTCTAACCTTTGTGCTTGGTTGTTTGACGTCTCTACTGGCACTGCTGTTGGAGGCATCTCATTTGAATATGAAAGGAGGAAAAATAATAACTGTCTTATCTGTTGAAAATTCCACTTAGTCTGCCCTGAAATCCTGCTGGTCGTGGTGGCAATCTCAACATCAGCACTTACTAATGATGGTCTTGATCTCTGGGACTTACACGTGAGCAAGAGAAGAAAGTTTTTTCAGATTAGAGGAAGGGAAGGAGAGGAATTTCAGCATTTCAGTGTCTAAGTTCCAAAAAGTTCAAAGGCAAAAAAAAAGGGAATACCACAAAACAAAACAAAGCAAAGTCAGCTCTCCTGGCCCAATAGGGACCACTTTTCAGAAGCTTTAAATGAAGTTTACTTTGAAAGTAGTGATACCTTGATTAGAAGCTTCAGGAAAAGACAGCCACCGTTATATCTGAGTGACTGATGCTACTCCCAGGACCCCACAGAATTGTAAAATTTTATCCCTCTTTGAGGAAAAGCAACCTAAATCAAACTGAAATATTAGTGTTTGGGTCCATCAAAACACCTTTAATTTGTCCTTTCATCCTGGTTTGCCTTTTGACAGGATATAATCACAGATCCATTCCAGCTTGCAGAGGAGTCTGACCATATGAAGTCCAGGTGTCCCCCTGATGCTGCTGGCGGCTGCTGTGACACAAAGAAATGCTGCAAAAACTACAACTGACTTCTACAAGTGAAGACACTGAGCAGGAGGCTAAGAAATGTGTCACTATGTCTTATCCTGCTCTTCCACATGGCACATACTTACAAGCAAGAATAAACGGCAAAACATCCACTGTATTCTATATTACTGATAAAAATAAATGAATTATGTTTACAAAGTACTAATTAAAGGTTCACAGCAAATCACCTAAAGATTAGTTAAGCAGTTTTTGTCTTGACTAATTCAAAGTTCTGGTGCCACTTAGTGGTCAGAAATGGAACTGAGAAGCAGTCGAAAAGCCTGGCCAATGGGCAAGAAAGGCTTCAAAAGTAACAGTTGGCCAAGGGTCTCAGACAAAACGTGCTCCTTCTGACCTGCATAGCATCTGTTGGACTTTTCAGCATGTTTGCTCATTAAACAAAATTCCTACTGAAATCTTGGTAATCCTGGGAAAAGACGGCCAAATGAAACTTGGTAGGAGTGCTCTTGAGGTAACTGGTCTTTTAAATTAAAGTTTTTTTTTATTTGAGTGAAGAAACAAATGAATAATAATTTTTTGGACTCAGTTCACCCTAATGTATGACAGTATAATGAGTATCTGCAGAAAATCTTAACCAGATCAGAAAGAGTTTGATAATTTTTAAAAGATGAGCTAGGAGATAGAAAAATGGTGGGTTTTTTTTTCCTTTATAAGGTGTCCTGGTTAAACTTTTAGGAAGGTATTAGATTTATTTCTAGTTTCTATAGTTAAAAGAAGAAGATCGAGGAATATTTCAAGGATGGTTACATCATTGAAAATTAAGAACATTAAAGAAAGTTTCAAGAATGATTAAATAAATTGAAGTCCAGTTGTACTTGAAGACTTTGTCAGGGGGACACAGAAAGGGGACACACAAAAATATAAGCCATTATCCTTGTCATCAGGAGCCAAGAGTTCAGTTTTTTAGTAACAGCCTTCAAGGAATGAAGAATTTCAAGGAATGAAGAATTTCAAGGAATGAAGAATTTTGATAATCTTGACTAATTGCTCTGATCTCAGTGCAGAAAGAGCCAGGGGGAACTGGCATGGGCCCGAGAGATTCTTTTGTTAGAGGTATGAGAATTTTTAGATCTTGTAGAACATTGGGATGAATTTCACAGGACAGACCCCTGTTTTAACAAAGCTGTTAAAAATGGAGAAATTGTCAGATTTCCGAGTCGAGTTCAGCTGTAGTCCCTAACTTACTATTACAAACCGAGGAAAGGACGGGTAGTATGTTTTAATCCCAGTTCACATTTGTGACCTTGATTCTAAACAGTGCTTTCTTGGTTCTAAATTTCAATATCTACCCAATCGTAACCTACTTCAGTGACAGCTGGGATTAAGCATACTTCACTAGGCACAAGTGCTCAAGGATCCTATGAGGGGAAATGATGAAAAAAAAAAGTAGGGGGGGTGTTCTGGTTATTTGGTTTATTAGGCTTTTCTAAATTTAGGAGGAAGAGTTAGTAGCTTTTTGCTTGTCATTCTGAACTTCTCAGTTCCCCCAGAAGATGTTGAGTGATGAGATTGGGCTAGAAATTCACACTGTTCTTTTCCTAAGAATAACATACTTTATACACTAATTTCCAACAAAAGTGTACATCTTAAGAATCGCGTTTGATATAGAATCTAGAAAAGATATGTATTAAGACAATATAAAATGAAAGTAGATGTATTTTACCCAGGAACGTGCCATAAAGTTATTTAAATATTAAGAATAGGTGAAATAGACAACTAGGAATGTGACCCTTTAAGAAGAACTTTAAGAGGGAGAGGCAGTATGGAGTGATGATTAAGAGCCAAAAGCTGATGCCAAACGTTACAGTTTTTTTTCCCTTTCACCTCTGCCGCTTAGTATTTTGGCCTTGAGAAAATAATTTAACATCTCTGTGCCTTTGTTTCCTCATTTGTACGAAGTTCTTTGAAAGCGTGCATAGCAGAGTTTAGATTATTTTTAGTTAAGATCTGTCTGGCTGCTGTGAGCATGTGATGTCAGGACCAGCTGAAGGCCGATGCTTCTTTTGCTGCTAGAACGTGGTTTAAAAAGCTGTCCTGTAGGTCTTTTGATAGGCTTACCTCCAGCATTTTATTATTACCATTTTTCAAATGTACAGAAAAGTTTAAAGAATTGCAGCAATGACTCATTTACCTACCACCTCGTTTATATACTTGTGAACCTTCTGCAATCATTTAATACGTTTCAACATTTATATTTACTAACAGCAGAGCTACAGAAACAGAGACCTAATTCTTTTCTTGCCACAAACCCTTTTCAAAAGATGCTGGACTTAAAGAGTTTCAGGAGTAGATTTTTCTCTTGATTGATTGTTGTATCAAATAAAGTATTTTCAGTCCTTCATTATTTCAGGGAGAGGATTTATTTTAAAGTCATGGAAGCCTGCAGAGGCTTTTCAGTTCACCAGCTGGGGGAGACCAGCAGTAACCTAAACAGGACCTCCACCCCACCCCACCTTCAGCCACACACGGCTTTAAAGGTCGTGGCTTTGTGCCAAGGCAGCAGCAGAGCCCTCTCCTCTAACTGACTCTTGGCCTTTCTTTGGATGGCTCCAGGGAAGCAGCCAAGGTCCTAAGTAGGTCTGCCTTATTAGGTTGGGAGGTCCTACTACATGAGTCCAGCCAGGAATGTGAACCTATCAATCCATCCTTTTGTAAAACAAAGAATGTTGTTCATTCTCAGGTTCTACAAGGATTGAGTCTTCAGCTACTGCAGTCATTAATGACGGTACACCCTGGAAGGAATTCAGGATGACAAACAGGATGAAGAACTCTGTGCTTTGGAAATACAGGTCCCTTAGTTAGATAGATCTCAAAATTTTTTATTAACCGGATTCTTACATCTTCCCATACATAGAAAAGCACTAAAATCATTAACTGAGATACTTGTCCCTTGTGACTGGCTGTGACTTTTACCTATGTATGCCTGACTGCACTTGTGCCCTGGTCCACGTCATCTTTAAATGCTGGCTTCTCCCCCTGCCTTTTTGAGGCAGGCCCCTCAGAGCTATTGGGAGGCTGTTTCCTCAGTAAGACCCTGAATACAACTCATCTCACAACTCATAGGTTGTACCTTTTTCTTTCAGTCAACACTTTCATTTATTCCCTAAATATTAATTAAGTACCTACTGTGTACCAGGCACTGATCTAGGCATGGATCACTAACAGTGGAATATTATGAGCCCTGTGGGCCAACAGGACAAAAACAGCTGAGCATATTTCCTAAACTTTGCTGGCCCCTGTCCTGACTTCTGTGATTTGCCAAGTTTACTCAACCACGCACACATCACAATTTGGATCTCAATAGGGGTTCTTTTGTGAACCTGTTCTAAGTGTCAACAGAGGGCGATTTCACTAGATAATAAAAGTGAACTCTTTTGTAAATATGAAGCTGGAATTAGACAATCCTAATAATAACCTATGACTTGAGCTTTATTGCTTCATTCCAGTCTCTATTTAACTGCTGATCCTGCAGTTCCTGTAAGCACAGCTCCCACTGAGGTCAATGGGAGTGTTATGTGAATGTTAAGTTCTGTACTTCATCGTCTCCTGCTGAGTGAGCCTTGCTTGTCTTGGACTGATGACCATACCAGTCCCCTTCCCCGACCAGACACGTGAGCCCCTCCTTTCATGTAGCAGAGCCCTACAGCAGTGACAGATTCCAGGAGAGGGGAAAAATCAACTTGGGACAAAAATGTTCTGCCCATTGCATCATATAATAGCAGAATGCCTCTTATACATTGTCCAGAAGCCAGAGAGAGTAAAAAAGTAGAATGGTGAATAGATGATGTTCTGGGTGCACTGTAAGTCAGACTTGGCTCTGCCAACTTAAAAAAAATTTTTTTTTTTTTTGGTGAGTAGGGAGGGTAATTAGATTTGTTTATTTATTTATTTATATTATTTATTTAATGGAGGTACTGGGGATTAAACCTAGGACCTCGTGCATGCTAAGCACACACTGTACCCTCCCCGCCCAGGGTCTGCTAACTTTAAACACTAGGCCTAAAACTGTTGATCTTCTTCTCATTCATGGAATGAACAGTGATGCAGGAGACAGAAAGCAGGTATTCTTTCTTGAGCCAGCTCTGCTGCTGAATTAATTACTTGCCCCTTGGAAAATCATTTGTCCACTCGGGGGTTCACTTTCCCCAGCTGTAAAATGAAGGTGTTGAATTTAGCTTTACGTTCCCTTCCAGGCTCAGAAACAGATTTATGAGTATAGATTCTGGAGAGGTCAGTCGTTAAAATTCGTTTGAACTAGTTGCCCACATTTATAAAGCAAAAGGTTTTACATAAAATATAAATTTCTGGCTTCTGTTGAAAAATTGTGAACATGAGCCCTGCATTTCTGCACAGCTGCCATGGCCCCCGTGAGTAATGGCTTCCCCTTTAGACAGGGTGTGTCCCTTAAGACAGTCTGCCGCCATCCCTACCCAGACAACTTTACTGGCCCCTGCAGGTGTTTTTAGTTTGCATCCCCGCTTTAGGACTAGAATTAGCGTAGTTTCATCAAAATGAAAAGTGAGGGTTTTTTTCCATTATAGTTCAAATGACGGCAGGTCCATGACTTAATCTATGACTCTGACTTATATATTTAATTCATTACAAGCAGAAGCCAAGAAGGACACATGGAGCTTTGCAGGGATGCTCGCAGGAGGGAACCAAAGAATTCTGGAACTGCTTATGGTAATTTGACATATAACTTGGAGCCTAATTGTATCAGGTGAGGCAGCCTGGACGGTTTAGTCTCTGTTCCAAGTTAATAAGCTTCCATCACATAACTTTCTTTGTGAATATCAAATGAGCATCCTCTGGAAAGCAAAGCCTCAAAATGTCACGTTGCTAGGGAGGAGAGGTTTGCACAGTGAGTCCAGAAGGATTTGTGTGGCGTCTAGGCTTAGTGGTTAATCTTTAATTAACTGTCCTTAGTTTCTTTTTCTTATTAACCTTATTATTCCTTGCAGTCGGATCTAACTAGGGAAATGTTGTGAAGGAGTTGTTTTTATTTTTGCTTTTCAATAATGAAACACAAGCCCATGAACGGACGCAACCCTTTACAAACGGTGATCCCTTATGGTCATGAGGAAAATTCATTGCTTTGGGTGGATATAAACCATACCAAATATCCCAAGTTGTTTCTTTTCTGAAAATAGCTCCCTTACACCTCCCTCATAA